TTTACATCAATCCATGTGAGTCTTTCTAGGTTCTTCTGAGAGCATCCTGCTCATCATTTCTTATATTACAACAATATTCCATCATAATTACATATCACAACTTATTCAGCCATTCCCTGATTAATATGTATCCCCTTAATTTCTATTTCTTTATCTGCAGAAAAGATCTGCTATAAATATTTTTGTACCTATATGTTGTTTCCCTTTTTTTTTCTCTTTTGGGATACAGACCTAGTAGTGGTATTGCTATGTCAAAGGGTATGCATGGTTTTATAGCCCTTTTGGCATAGTTCCAAATGGCTCTATAGAATGGTTTAATCAATTCACAACTCCCAACAACAGTATGTTATTGTCTCATTTTCCCACATCCCCTCCAACATTTGTCATTTACCTTTTCTATCCTATAATCTAATAGGTATGAAGTAGTACAACTTTAATAAGTCCTTACAATTTCTCTTTCCTGTTTATCTTTTCATGTTTTCTTGAGTCTTGTATTTGAAAGTCAAATTTTCTATTTAGCTCTGGTTTTTCTCAAGAACGCATTTAATTCCTCTGCTTCATTGAATGACAATTTCCCCCTCATTGATTGTAGTCAATTTTGCTTGGTAGATGATTCTTGGTTTTAATCCTAGCTCCTCTGACCTCTGGAATATTATATTCTAAGTCTTGTGACCCCTTAATGTAGATAGAAGCTGCTAAATCTGTGTTATCCTGATTGTGGTTCCACAATACTTGAATTGTTTCTTTCTGACTGCTTGCAATATTTTCTGCTTGACCTGGGAACTCTGGAATTTGGCTATAGTATTCCTGGGAGTTTTCCTTTTGGGGTCTCTTTTAGGAGGTATACCGTCCCAAGTTTCATGGTTTTTTGTGTAGCTGTTTTCAAAGATACTTCTTGGGACCCGTAGGTTTTAAATTCTTTCAAGGTGGTGTGATGTAAGGAGAGGTGTTTACTCCTCTCCTGGCCTGTGCTCTGGTCTGTGAGTAACCGCAAGCACTCTTTTCTGCTCTGGGACTGTGACAAGGGTTCCTGCTCCACTGTGGTCGCAAGCTCTGGTATGTTACTGTTCTTCCTCACCCTGAGGCTGCCACCCAGGACTGCAACCCAGATCCAAGTACAGGCAAAACAACAGAGTCCTGCCTCAATGCTAGCAAAGATAACCCTGTAATCTGTTTCTGATCACTTGTTTGACCCCCTTTCTCTCTATGGGCTGAGAGCTCTGGAATCAGCTGCTGCCATTACTGATTCAGTGGCTCCCAAAGCCTGTTCCTGGTTTACTGGGTCTGGGTCTGTGCTATTGTAGCCTGGGCTGGACTGAGATCCACTCTCACTCTGGTGTAAGAGACCTTTCCTGCTGATCTTCTATATTGTCTTTGGATGAAAAATTATTTCACCCCATCCTTTTGTGGATTCTATTGCTCCAGGAATTGTTTTATGGCATTATTTACAGGTGTTTGGAAGGATTTGGGGGACAGCCCAGGTAAGTGCCTACCTTTTCTCTGACATTTTGGCTCCCCCACCCAATTACCACTTTCTAATATAATTTGAGGTTTGGAAGTGCTACTGTCCTCCCTCTCCCCTTTTTAAAAATATGTTTACTTTTGAATTTTAGACCATTTTCCCCCAAATGAATTTCATCTTTGTCTAGTTTCATAAAATATCTCATTGTTAATTTGGTATAGCATTAACTATATGTTAACTCAGGTAGAATTATTATATCTCTTATCCTAGCATGGTCAATGGAAGAACAAGAAATATCCCTCTAATTGCATGTCATCCAGAATTTGCCACAGTGGCCAACAAGTAGGAAAAGTGTGGTCCTTCAGGAATCTATGTTGATGATTACAGGGCTTAGCATGATGCTTGGCACACAGTAAAAACATAATAAATGTTTATTTATTATTTGATTTATTCCAGCATTGGTTCCTTGAACCAATTAAGTTTTGAGGATGTTATCAAGCCTTTTAAGGAAAAACAAAACCTAGCCTAGCCTATGTGGGGTAAATGTTGCTCCTATCACATTCTAATTTAAGAGCTACACCCATTCTTTCCCTTTATTCCTTCTTTCCTTCATAACTATAAAATTTAAGAAGCTCCAAATTTACTTAACTTAACTTTACTTATCTAAAAACTTAACTAAAAAATTACTTTAATGAATTCTTGTTCCTTTCTCTTCTTCTTATTTGTAATTTTGCAGCATTTACTTTAGATTATTTTTTGATGGTCCTTTCCATTTCTTTGTTTTTGTATTGGTATCTCTCTCTCTTCCTGCCCTCCCCTCTCTCTGCACCTGGATCATGTTTTTTTTTTTTCCTGCAGGGCCCCACCTTCAAAAATATCCATTTATGAAGAAAGCAATATTTAATATTTATTGAAAGCAGTGTCATGTGACAAGACTCCTTTTATGTTCTGAGTAAAGAGGGTTGATTTCACATGATATCACTATAATCCAGTCCTAAGTCTATCTTATCTCTCCCAATCATTCCTACCGACCCACCCTTCCCACAGTTTTGGAGTTGTGAGTTGTCTTGACAACATGTATTCTTTATATATGTATCTTACTATCACTTACGTACTATAAGTGACACTCTTTCCCTATGGATGCTTTGTTTGTTTGTGAGAGAATATGCTTCAGCTTTATGAGGAAAATACTTTGTAGCTATTACTTTTATTATACCATCATACTAAATATATTTGCTTTGAGCATCTTTTGCCTGATTGTTAATGGGAAGCACACCACTGGGGACTTATGAACTACAGTGTCAAAAATAGCTACATACGGAAGAATAGTTACCCTATTAGCAGATTAGCAATCTTTTGGGGACTGGACCCATGACTCAAAGAAAAAATTGGCTGACTAACTCAGAAGGGACACTAAGCTAGAAGATGTGAACAAGGAAGTGGAAGGCTAAAATTTCTACCAGGGAGTGCTTATCAGTTATATTCTAAGGTAAAAACAATGATCTAATAAGATCTGACAAGGAATATATGCCCTCCTCCCTCAGTCAAAATTATCAAGAGGATTATCTGAAATGTTGAACTGTAATTTCTGTCATTAAAAATGAATCTCATCAAAAATTTTACATAGTGCCTTCAGTGATACCATATCATCGCAAAGCAAGACATTTAAAAATCAAGGTTTTGTTACTGAAAATTAAGTGTGTCACCCATAACAAAGTTGGAAACAACATTTTCTAAGCTACTTAAAGGGGAAGCTAGGTGGCACAGTGCATAGAGGCTGGCCCTGGAGTCATAGTTCCAATCTAGCCTCAAACACTTATTAGCTGTATGACCCTAGGCAAGTCACTTAACCCTATTTGCCTCAGTTTCCTTATCTGTAAAGTGACCTGGAAAAGGAAATGGCAAACTACTCCACTTTGCCAAGAAAAACTCAAATTGGGGTCACAAAGAGTCAGTCATGAATAATTGACAAAACAACCAGCTATCTAAAAATGTTTCTAATGAAGTTTCAGTGGTTTTTGAAAAGTAAAAATAATGTATTCAATGTATTTGCAAAAGCAACTGATGACATCATGGAAGATAGAATTTTAGAAACCAAATTTCAACAGAAACCTTTCCATAATTAGGGGATTGGCCTGAACAATTAGTGTGCTGATTGAGTAAGCTTAATACTGATGCTTCTTCACATTCACAAAGCATCTTTCTCAGCTGATGGCCATAAAAACCAAGTATCAGAATAAACTGAACGTAAACCCAAAGTGTAATATTAAGGAAATATTTTTAAAAATAATAATGAATTTTCAAGTTCACTGTTTCCACTAAAATGTTGGTAATTTTTAGTAAGAGCAAAAAGGATTTCCACTCAATAAATAAAACAAATGATTTTAAATTGTTTCATTTTAATGAAATGAAATTTAAATATCATTTTAAGAAGCATTCCTTTTGTATGTTTTATAATGCACTTGGCATAGGTCAGTGGATAGAAAGCTGGCCTTGAAGCCAGAAAAACTTGGGTTCAAGCCACCTTTGTTACATACTGGCTGTGTAACCATGGGCAAGTCACTTAAGTTTTTAATACTTAATACAACTCTCTAAGACTATAAATTACCAATAGGAATTAAAAAAATTTGGAGACCACTGGCCTAGAAGACAGTGATATTGACAGAAATATAAAATAATTATTAAGTTCTTACTCTATGCAAGTTGCTGTGTTAAATGGGTACAATGCAAGAAAATAAGATATTCCCTGGCTTCAAGGAGTTTGCGTTGTAAAGGGAGAAGGAGAACAAATGTAGGAGAGCTAGAGAGATAGCATGATGCAGATAGCATGAAGTGTCATGGAGGCTTAGAAGGTAAAAAGCTCATCTCTTAAACCCCAGTGTCCCGGAGGTTGAGTCCAAGGTTTTTTGTCAGGTAGGAAAATGACTGACTAGTGAAAACATGGTGAAGAGATGGCTGGGGAGAAGTAGGTAGACACAGAACTAAAAAAAAAAATGTGTGTATGGAATTACTGGGGCAACAGGACAGCATGTAGCCCAGATAGTTAGGGGGTAGCAAAATATTGCATTCCAGAGAATTCCTTTGAGATCTTCTAGTCCTTTCCTTCTTTTTAAGGATTAGCCCAAAGGAGCAAAATAACATTTTTAAGAGTTAGCAGCTCTCCATGAGTAAGGTAGTGCTTATGATTATCTAGCCTAGAAGCTATGATGAGTCTAGGATCAATATGACAAAGGGGATCCCTTAGGTAGAAAGTAAAGCACAGAGACTAGGCAAGAAGGTGTTAGCCAGGGATTTCATTCTCCTAGGATATAGTCAGACCACGCTCATCAAAATTCATTCTTCCATTGGGAGTCAGGTGGATAAGTTATGTTACCAGTTATATAAGCCCAAACCGAACACCGTTGAAAGCCTAACAAGAAGAGTTACCCAGGGGGACAGAGTGATAATTTATCCCAGTCAAATTTAAGAAAGTATTTGCCCATGCCCAGGTAAAAGGTTGAATTTCAAAATACTTTAAAAAAAATTTTCTTTCCAACAGGGCTAAAATTTTATTCCAAATTGGGTCAAAGCAAACTACCCATTTTTGAGTTATACTATGACCATGTGGGCTCTGAAGCTTTAGTTTCTATGAACGAGACGACTAAGGATTGTATAGACATTTATTCTGTGTTTGATAATGAAGCAGTTTTAAAGGTCAGTGACATATATGCATTGCTAATGTGTAAAATATTTTTAAAATAAGAATTAAGCACAGAATCACAGGACTATCATCTCCCTCATAGGTAGATGATGTACTATTTTCAAGCACAAGCATTTTAACCTAAATTATATACCCAGTGCTGAATGGCCTTTAGTGATAATCTAATGTATCAATCATGAAAGTCAGAACTTTTCAGTCTAGAATCAAATGGATTTTTGGGGGCAAAGTATTTAAAAAAAGGTCCATGGGTCTTCAAGACCATAGAGCTGAAAATAAGCCTAATCAAACACACCACACTCAACTTACCTGCCTGAAATGGTAGGTGAGGGAAGGTTGAGGTATGCAGACTCTTATGCAAATATAAGGTGTTGTTCCAAATCACCAGCCGTAAGAGAAATGCAAGTCAAAACAAACCTGTGGTTGTACCTCAAAGTAATTTGGCAAAGATGACAAGAACAATGTTGTTGAGGTTGTAGAAAAGAAAGAAAACATAAATGCATTTTTGGGTGGAGCTATAAATTGGTTCAGCCATTATCGAAGGGAATTTACAATTATGCCAAAAAAGTGGCTAACACGTCTACAATCTTTGACCTATAGATTCCACTGCTAGGCATATGTCCCTAAGAAGGCAATGGCAAAAGAAAACCTAGTTCCATATATAAAAAAAATTTATAGAAACATAAAAAACAGAAAAGAATGCAAATCTCTGTCAAGTGGGGAATGGCTAAAGATGTAGCTCATGACTGTGATGGAATATTACTGGCACTGTAAGAAACTATGAGTATGATGAATCAAAGAAGCATGGAGAGGCATCTCAACTCTGCAAAATGAGCAGTGCAGAAATAGGAAAACAAGATTCCAATTTCCATTCATACAACTACAGCTGCGTGAATGGAAATAAAAATGGAAACTGAGTGCAATGAAATGACAATGACCAAACTTGGCCCCAGAGAAGAGGGCGAAGCTCCTCACCTTTATTTTTTCCGAGTTGGTGTATTATAGGTATAGAATACTGCATATGACATCAGACTTTTTCATGATTGGTTTTAATACCTGGATAAGTTCCAACAACTGCATACACTTTGACCTCTTCAATACCCCACTGTTAGATACCCATGTGCAACCAGTATACACGTGTGGCCCAGTGCACATAGTGTTCTCATCACACACCTTAATGAGACAGATGCAGTGGCACTGTTCTAGTCCACTAGTATGTCTTGTAGGAGGCTACATGGTGCTCCCTTTGGAGACAGAATCTAGTATTTTATCCATCTCCAGAAATCTTTCCAGGTTGAAGCATTAATTTACCTGACCTCCCAGGCCACTGTCTTCTCCTACCTTTACTCCTCTAGCCTTTTACATTTCCATTTTCCTCTAGGGCTCTAATATTTAAGAAAATGGAAGACAGCTAAGTCATTCAATCAACAAATCAACAAATATTTATTTATTAAGCACTTCTTATGTACCTGGCACTATGCTAAGTACTGGGATTAAAATACAAAGAATGAAATCCCTAGGATTCCCTAGGATTCCTAGGACAGTGAGAATGATCAATATTCTGAAGAATCTTGAATGTATATATAATAGACATAGGGAGGACATGTACATATAATAAGAATAACATTTATATTCTAAGGTTTGCAAAGCACTTTACAAATATTACCTCATTTTATCCTCACAATCCAGGGAGGTAGGTATGGTTGTCCTCATTTTACAGAGAAGACAACTGAGACTGACAAGAGTAGTGTGACTCGCTTAAGGTCATCTGGCTAGTAAGTGCCTGAAGTAAGATTTGAACTCAGTTCTTCCTTATTCCAAGCCCAGTATTCTATCTATTGTACCACCTGGATTCCACATATTATATAAATATGAAATATACATACATGCATACATGTAAATATAGAATAGATTTAAAGTATAGGGAATCACTTCACTCTTAGTTGGGAGGGGGATCAGAAAAGGCTTCATGTAGAAGGTGGTGCTTGAGATTCTTCTTGAGTAGGGAATACATTCTAAGGCCTGGATGCTAGCTACTTCAAAAGCATGGAGATTGGAAAGGGAGTGTTATGTGTGAGGAACACAAAGAAGGCCACTTTGGCTGGCTGGACCACTAAGTGTGGGCAGGAGAATAATGAAGCTGGGAGGACAGTTTGGGACTAGGCTGTGAATAGATAAGGGCAGATAGTATTGGAGAACACTTTTCTTTTAGTATGCCCCCATTCAGTCTGCATCTTGCTTTCTCCCTAGACTTACACATAGAGTTCTGGGGAAGATCTCAGATTAAAGATATGTGCTGGGGCCAGCTTCTACTGTTTTTCCTCCCTTTCCTCCAGTCCCCAAAGCTAGCCAGGCAATAATGAAACACTGGATTAGAGCAGCAATGAGATAAAAAAGCAAAGCATCAGGATTGAAAAGAGAGGTCTTTGGGGTTGCTGGCAGCTAGAGAAGTTCCTCAGTAAGAAACATGGGGATGAATGCATTTGTTGGCTTTGGGGAAAAAGGGTTTACACCAAGAGACAGGGGAGGCATGATTTCTCTGAAGGGAGGGGGAGGACCGTTCTGAGGCCTCACCATGAGAGAGACAATAGCTTTTAAGTCCCAAGATATGTACTGAGTCCTCTTTTCTGATTCACTCAGGGCAGTTGCTACTCTCTAGTTAGATCACTGAATAAAACACACACAGCAAAATCAGTTCCCCATTCAGTGCTTCACAAAACCATAGTCACATAAAGTCCTATGGATTTGTTGAAAGGAAACTTTTTGTGTCCACCTATGAAAGTTATTTGGTTCAGGGACTACCCCTGACATGTACTGGTCATGTGACCCTAGGCTAGTCACTGTTCTAAGCAACTTTAAGTTACAAGACTTTAAGCTATAGAGAAGGTGCCAACTTGTATTGATAAATGGACTTTCTTCATCTGGTAGTTCTCTGTAACAACAAAATCATAGGTCCAATCTCTATTTCCTTTTCCCCATGGAAGTATATAATCTCAACATGCCACTCCATGCTGTTTGTCCTTTGTTCTCAAAGAGGACCATGATATCAGGGAGGTGATGCCATGACATGCAAGTGAATTGGATTTGAGTGAGGGAAGGCTGTGCAAAATCATCAGGAACTCCATGACAGTTTCTTAAAAAGAGTACAGAAGAATGGTGTCCAATATCCTTCAGGCAGTGAAGCATTTTTTTTCCATGAAATTTATATTTATGCTTTTTAAAGCTATCCTTCCTACCCCAGCCCTCCCCAATCAGGTTGTTACAGATAATAAAGGGGTACCAGTAAGTGAAGACTCAACAAATTTTTTTCTTGTGATCCCATACTTTCAAAATCCCAGTCTTACAAGAGATTGTGGGAAGAGAGGAGAAAAAAAAGTTTTCTTTACTCTGCACCAAGGATATATACAGTCCCTTGTCCACATAAGGGAATCAGGCAAAATATATTAAATAGAAGGGGCATCAGAAGTTACTCAAGAAAGCACAATTGTTCTGAGTTATAACATTATATAATTATTAAATGCAAACAACTTTTTTCACTTGTATTTAAATATAAAAGGGAGAGTGTTTAAAATAATGGCATTCTTTTTTTTTTCCCTTTCCAGAGTAATGAAGATACGGAACTTAAAACTGTATTAGCTCCGCAGTACCTCACAACATCTCAAATGATCTTTTTTGCATACGTTCCCCAGAATGCTTCTATGGAAACTAGAAAGGATCAAATATTTTATCCCCACCACGTTGGCAGAAAACTCCAATTAAAGTAGATTATGATTAATTTCAGATAGTTAAATTTACCATTGGTTTCTATTGTGCTCTAAAGCCAAAGGTTTGGGCCCTTAGGAATCATAGAACCAATATGATTGATTAATAATTAACTAAATGAGTATAGCAAAGTACTGGCTAAGGAGAAGTAGCTTATATTCAGTCAAGAGGAAAGTGAGGTGATGGGTGTCAGCTTGGAGCATACCACTCACAAAGAGAATTTAGTAATAATCCATTTGATGAAACACTACATATGAAGGTGGAAGGGATAGTTTAGGTCCCACCTCAGTAGCCAGCAGCTAAGACATTTGAATTATGAGACTGAACAGTTGCACATACAGTGTTAAAGAAGAATCTTTAAGCTGAGAGATCTAAATCGGATTCAAATTGAAAAAAATAAAGGGAAAGTTAACACATGTGATGGCAGAGTCAGGATCCAAAAAGATTCTAATAAGATGAAATAAGAATAACTGTAAAATTTTACTTTGGGGTTAAAAAATGAACTTCTCAAGGTTAAGGTGGGAGAGATGTGATGAAATAGAAGTTTGTCTGAAATGAGATCTTGGGAGTTTAGGGAACTAAAAGTTCAATATGCAATAATGGAGTTCTTTAGACCTTGAAACAGAGCAATGGACCTGAACAACTGAGTTCAAATGTGGTATCAGACACTTGATTAGCTGTGCAACCCTGGGAAAGGCACTTAGCTTCTGCTTGCCTCAGTTTCTTTTTTTTTTTAATATTAATTTATTTTTAGTTTTCAACATTCACTTCCACAAGTTTTTGAGTTCAAAATTTTCACCCCTCCCCCCACCCCAAGATGGCATACATTATGAATATCCCTTCTCCTAGTCTGTCCTCTCTTCTATCTCTCTCCCCTTCTCTTATCCCCTTTCCCTTCTATTTTCCTGTAGGGCAGGATAGACTTCTGTACCCCATTTCCTGTATTTCTTATTTCCCAGTAGCATGTGAAAACATTTTTTTAAAACATATGTTTTTAAAACTTTAGGTTTCAAATTTTCTCTCTTCCTCCCTCCCTACCCACCCTCATTGAAAAGTCAAGCAGCTCAATATAGGTTGTACATGTGCAGTTATGCAAAACACATCCATAGTAGACATGTTGTGAAAAACTAACTCTATTTCCCTTAATCCTATCCTGCCCTCCCATTTATTCTATTCTTTCTTTTGACCCTGTCCCTCCTCAGAAGTATTTACTTCTGATTACCCCCTTTCCCGATCTGCCCTCCTCTCTATCATCCCCCTGCTCTCTTGTCCCCTTCTCCCCCTATTTTCCTGTAGGGTAAGACAGATTTCCATATCCAATTGAATGTGTATGTTATTCCCTTGTTAAGCCAAATCCTATGAGAATAAGATTCATTCATTCCCTCTCACCTTCCCCCGTTTCCCCTCAACTGTAAGAGACTTTTCTGGTTTTTTTTTTTTTTTGAGATAATTTACCCCATTCTACCTCTCCCTTTCTTCTTCTCCAAGTATAATCCTCTCTCATCCCTTAATTTTATTCTCCAGATATGACCCCTTAATCTTCAACTCACCTTGTGCCCTCTGTCTATCTGTCTACATATACATACACATAATTTTTTCCCTCCAACTACCCTAATACTGACAAAGGTCTCATGAGTTATAAATATCATCTTTACATGCAGGAATGTAAACAGTTCAATCTTAATAAGTCTCTTATGATTTCTCTTTCCTGTTTACCTCTTCATGTTCCACTTGAGTCCTGTATTTGAAAGTCAAATTTTGTATTCAGCTCTGTTGTTTTCATCAGGAATGCTTGAAAGTCCTCTATTTCAATGAATGACCATTTTTTCCCCTGAAGGGTTATACTCAGTTTTGCTGGGTAGGTGATTCTTGGTTGTAATACTATCTCCTTTGCCCTCCAGAATATTATATTCCATGCCCTCCAGACCCTTACTGTAGAAGCTTCTAAATCTTGTGTTATCCTGATCGTGTTTCCACAATACTTGAATTGTTTCTTTCTGACAGTTTCAAATTCTTGGCCACCACAAGACAAGCTGCTATAGATAATTTTATACATGTTGGTCCTTTTCCCATTTTTATGATCCCTTTGGGCTACAGAACTAAAAGTGGTATTGCTAAGTCAAAGGGTATGCATGGTTTTATAGCCCTTTGGGCATACCTCCAAATTACTCTCCAGAATGGTTGGATCAGTTCACAACTCTACCAACAATGCATTAGTGTCCCAATTTTCTAACATCTCCAGCATTGACATTTTCTTGTTTTGTCATGTTAGCCAATCTGATAGGGGTGATGTGGTACCTCAGAGTTGTTTTGATTTGCATTTCTTTAATAAATAGTGATTTAGAGCATTTTTTCACATGACTATAGATAGCTTTAATTTCTTCATCTCAAAACTTCCTGTTCATATCCTTTGTCTATTTATCAATTGGGGAATGGCATGTATTCTTATAAATTTAACTCACTTTTCTATATATTTTAGAAATGAGGCCTTTATCAGA